AGCCTAAGACTTTACCCCGAGGCCATGGGGAGCCATGGAGGGCTTGAGACAGGGAGCATCAGAGTCAGGGCTGCATGTGAGCAGGTGCCATGTGGACAATGGGCTGAGGCATGTGGGGAGTTTTGTTAGGAGGCAGTTGAGGGAGCCAGAAGAGGTTCAAATCAGAGGTGCTGTCCAAGACTGGTTTCTGACCCAACTGGTTTCTGACCTTGGATTGGGGAGACATTTGGCACCAGCCAGGCTTCCCTCCTAAGTCCCAGACCCACATATCCACTTGCCTGCTGGGTGCCTTTGCCAGGATGCCCTCAGGCACCTACTCACCATATGTCCATACAGTGTTCCTTCTCGGTGCCAGTCTCTTTCCAGGAACCCGAAGTCCACTGAAGAGGCTATTTCAATGGAGGAATACTACTTCCAGGGAAGCATGGGGCTGTGGCAGCCCAGAGGAAGCACTGACCCTGCTTCAGTTGTCAGTGAAGACTTCCTGGAGGAGGGAACCTTTTAGTGGAGTCTTCAAAAACGAGATGTTAGCTAATTTAAAGGGAGAAGAGGGCACTGCCATCAGGGTGACCACATTTCAGAAAGTACAGACAGAAGCAAGAAATTGCAGGCTGGACTTTGAGTGGAAAGTTTGAAAAAAGAAAATGGAAAGAAAAAATGTGGAGAGGCCAGTGGGGCTGCATCCTGCCAGATAAAATGCCAGACTAAGGAGTTTCACTGTTTTTGCAGAGGTAATTGGGACCCAGCGGAGGTTCAAAGCAGATGGGTGGCTTGATCAAATTTGCCTTTTAGACCTTGGGACATTGCCTCCTATGTGAGAACAACACACCAGAGCTTCTGGGCAAGGGGCTGGGAAGCAAACAGGGGCTGGGAAGCAAACCTTCACAGAGGAGGTGTCACTCAATTGGGCCTTGAAGGAGGGGAGGAAGGACATCTGGCCAGTGCATCTGGCTCACATCTGTGTCCCTGTGCCTGGCACACTCTGGGCTTGGAGAGAGAGCCCACATTGGTTGGTGGACCACAACTGCATCCTTCTTGGACAGAGGCAGCAAATGGTTTGGGTCCCCGCTGTAGCTCCACCCACACCGCTCAGCTCTGCTGAGTTTGTGACTTCAGTGAGCAAAACTACCGATTTTCTGGCCACAATTCACTCTAAGATCTTCTTCCCAGAGGTGAGCTCCTGAGAACTCAGGTGGAGTGGACAGAAAGGGGGAGAGGCACAGAGTACAACCTGTATCTCACACACACACACACAGCACGACACACTCATAAACATGCACTCACACACATGCACTCACGCATGCATATACATAACACATTGTCAACTACATGCAATAGTTTTGGTTGATCTCAGCCATAAGGGAGGACATTCTCTTGGATTCTATTGACTTTGGGTTCAAACACAGGCAAGACTGATGTATGGTGGGAGGAAGCAGAACAGCGATTATGGAGCGGGGGAGTGGTGACTGGAAGACAGTGTCAGGAAACTTCTGGGGGGCCTGGCAAAGTTCTATATATCGATTCAGGTGAGGTCAACACAAATGTGTTCATTGTGTGAATATTCACATTTGATTGGATGGAAGTTTGTGCTGGATTTGTGCATTTCTTTATATAAATAATACCATGATTAAAAGGTTAAAAAATTAGTCACAGTATGTTAATATATATATGTATGTGTGTCTACATACACAAATCTTTTGTGTGCCTGGCATCATCATCTACCTCAGCATATTTGGAAGAGTCCAGCCAATCTCTGCTGAGGGCTGGGTGGAGGGTGGTATTGACCGTGGAGTAGACCCTGCTTCCCTGCTCCCCCTACAGAGACCCACGGACCAGGCCCCTCAGGGAGGGGAAGAGCCCACCAGCTGACAAACACAGGCAGATCAGGCCGTTCACCCCTCGGGGCAGACCCACACACCCCTAAATAAACATTTGCTAACCAACTGGCCTTCCAACTCATAGCCTGCCCCCAACATTGGTCAGGACCCCCAGGGGCAGGCTGGAGAAGGACACAAGAGCTTGTCCCAGGTGTCTGGAAAAAGAGCAGCTGGCACAGCTGGCATGGACTCAGACAAAGCAACGGGCCAGACGGTCGGACATTTGCACATGCATGGTCACAGACACAGATTTGGAACCTGTCCTGGGACCCAGGCACACAGACGCTCTCTAATCCTGCTTTTGAGAGGGACTCGTCTCACCCTGCACACGGAGAACCTTGGGACAGGGCCAGTGCTGGAGCTGGTGACCTTTTGTTGGATGACCACAGTGCCCCAGGGAGACCCCCGCTGGAGCACAGACACTCACTGGAGAGACGGACACACCCGAGCTTGTTCTCTCGAGGACTTCGCCGTCTGGCCCTTTCTTGGCTGGACGGGGCTGGCTCCAAAAGCTGGATACTAGGAGGGGCAGGGGTTGCGAACAGAGTCCCAGATGGGAGATCCTAATCTAAGGCCTTCTGCTACACTAGGCTGGCACACGTGTCCCTGCTCTCTTGCCCCTGCGCCTCCTGATAACATAAACCTTCCACTACCCCAGCCCCGGAGGCAGGCCTGGGGGTCCCTCAAGGGCCCTCTTTGCCCCCTCCCATCCTCAAAGTGCTTTGCCAGTGACCCTTGCCCTCTCGCTGACCCCTCTGCATCTCCTGCCTCCCACCCCCCACCACATCCCCAGCCCTGACCTCATGTCTGCAGGGCCATGGGCGAGGGCGAGATAAGGCGCATTGCACGCTGCTCCCTCGTGGGTACCTACAGGAAAGGCGGGTCAGGCTGCCAGCCTCGAGAGTGCCCATGACTCACAGGTGGGCAGGGCCGAGGCTGGCTTCCGGGAGGAAATGCCACTTCCTCTGGATAAGACTGGAGGTTGGCTTTTTTTGCTTTATGGGTTGTGCGTTTGTTTTAAGAAGTCCTTCCCCGCACCCGTGTTGCCAAGATTGTCTCCAACAGCTCGTTCTGGCAAATTCAGAGTTTTGCTTTTCATATTTGTGTCTATTTTTCCTCTACCTGCAGTCACCTTTTTACCAGGTTAGGGCAAGGGATCCACTTGTAGCTTTTTTTCACAAGTGAGCCTATCTTCTCAACCCTGTTAACTGGTCCGTCCCTTCCCCATGGAACTGTGGGGTGTCAGGCTTTCTCTTTGCTGACCAGTTCCGACTGCCTATTTGCCTGTTCTTGCACCAATGTCATCTCGGTCGCTCCCCTCAGCTTTCTGGTACATGCTGACATTGTTCAGGGCAAGTCCTCCCTCCTTGATCTCTGTTTCAATCACTTGGCCATTCACGAATCTGTCATGTGTCGCTTAGCGCTGTCGTGGCCAACAATGGACTGTGTACCCAATAGTGGCCCCCAGATCATCGTGCATGCGGCCAAGGCAAGTAGCAGCCTGGGCCACCTGGGTCTTTGTCATCACATTCAAGGATGTCCACGAGATGACAAAATTGACACATGACACATTACTCAGAATGTGTGTCCTCGTTGCTAAGCTACCAGTGACTGTATATTTTAGAGCATGCCTATCATGTTCCTCAACAATATCCTGCTGGAATTAGGGATTTCCCTTAACAAAGGACCTCATGGATAAAGTGAGGGGGAAGGATGGAGATGAGGAGATTTGTGATTTTTAAGCAGCTGGGAGCTGCGAGCTGGACTATATGAGGAATGCCTGCAAAACAAGGACAAAAAGATTGTAAACCCAGCAGAAAAATGGACTGAGGGTAGGAACTGGCCATTTGCAGAGTATGGGAAGAGTCTCAAATGCACTCACAGTTAGAGAAATGCAAATCAAAACAACAGAGAGAGATTGCTTAACACCTATCTGATTGCTGGACACCACTGGATAATGCCAAGTGTTGGTGGATGTGTGCAGGAGCGGGCCTGAGTGGCATCTAGCTGTGTTTCGTTAAATTAAGTGCAAGCATATGTCCAAGCCCTCCACCCAGCCCTGCAAGGGCCCATCATGCACCACTGGTAGTGATGGTGTGGAGAGGGGCCTGGGTGCACATCCCTGGGTGTGGTGTCCTGCTCTGGGCACCAGGCAACAGTTTGAAGCAACAAGCCTGGTGGAGACTAGACTCTGTTGAAAGATCTGAAAAGCAGAGTGGGGAGTAGAAACACTAAGAAATACAGCTCTTTGCCCACTGCCATTCATGTAAATAAAAATCTTTCAGACAGTGGTATACACTTTTAAAAAGTGAAATAAAATTCACATAACATAAAAGTAACCATTTTAAAACAGAATTCGGCGACATTTAGTAGATTCACAACATTGTGCAACCACCCCCTCCCTCTAGCTCCAAGACAAATCACCCCCTGCCAGGAAACCTTGTCCTCACCAAGCCTCTCTGACTGTCCCCTCATCACAAGGTACATGTGAAATGACGGATGCTCACTGGAAGTGATGCGGAAAAATCTGCTGTGCTTGAGGCCAAAAAAAAAAAAAGATAAAGCAGAGGTTCAGACTCTCCCTAATCCAGGCACCCAGGAGCAGAGGCTCTGGAAGGATCCTGGAGCTCCCACCCCCCCTCTCCTGGCACAGAAGGAAGTGGCGGGGACGCAGGCTGTCGGGCATGGGAGCTGAGGATGTGGAGGGAAGTAGAGGCGGACCCTTTGGGGGTGCCTGGTGCTGCACTGTTGCGGGGGCCTGGAGGAAAGATGTGAACCTGATGGTCAGTTCAAGCCACACCTTCTTCTGGCCCCCAGGCTCCAGGCAGAGCAGGGTCTGCTTTTCCAAGCAAGAAATCCAGACATGTGGCTTGCCAGACACCCTTTTTTCATTTTGGATTTGAGAATTTATTTATAAAAAGTCTTACCAAGGTATAAACATTCTGGGCCTTTGCACATGCTATGGACTTGGCTGGAATGTTCCCTCCAAGCCCCCCTCTTACTCTGTGTCCTCCTGGTGAACTCCACCACCCATTGGGGCACCTTCATCAGGAAGCTTTTTCCAACCCATGTCCTGCACCCAGCCGCCCCACCCCCCTCACCCCGCCCCGCCCTGGCCAGCACTCTCTCCTCGGGGAATCTGCAGCACCTCACGTGATACTCATCCTCCACTTCCATATCAGTCCCCCCACTACCCTCACTTGGGGTTTCTCTCCAACAGGAAGCCCTGTTTTTTCTGAGGGAGGGGGGCCCCAGTGGGGCTCAGGGGCACATGGATGTCAAGTTACAGCTGTGGGTCTCACAGCAGGCCTGTCTTCCCAGTCCCAGGTGATCTGGGTTTGAATCAAAGTGGTCTCCAGGTCCCTGCTCATTTCCCCTTGGGTACCCTCCCCAGTGCCTTGGGGTCTGGCACAAATCTGTCCTCTGCTGTCATAGAGCCTTGGACCCTGGGCATTCGCTGTGTGAGGACAGGCAGGATCTCAGGCCCCAGAGGCAGAGGGGAGACAGGTGTAAATCAGGCTCCCACCTCTGGGGGTCTTTTCACTGGGCCCAAGTCACCTTCTTCCATCTTAGCTGCCCTTACTTGGCTTGAAGGATGGGGGCACCATGGGCACCCTGTTCAGCACCCCCTGAATGTTTGGGGCCATCTCTCTCGGGTCTCAGCCATGGGACGTTCTCAGATCCTCCATGAATCCAAGGATCTGCCCCCTCAGCAGCATCACAGGCCCTGTCTCTGAATTGGTGGCTCTGCCCACAGAAATGGCCTGTTTGGGCAAGTCTGGGGGATCTTGTTCGAGCCCCCAGTGTGGGCGCTTGAGGGGTAGAGGGCGTTTTGGAATCACATCCTTTGGTTTTCTGTGCAGCTCGCTCCCCAGGCTGCGGCTCCCCTCTTCTTGGCGGTACTGCCCTCCTCATGCTGTTGACCTTGGCTCAGGGTTTGCGGGGGCTGGAGCTCTCACACCATAAATTCCTGTCTTCTAGGAATCCAGCCTGGGAAAGAAAGGAAACACGGAGGAGAATATTTGATTAACATTTTTCCAGCGTGACCACATCACAGAGACGTGTGGCCGGAATTCTCACCCTGGACTGGGTGGGGCGAGACTCAGCCGGTGCCCAGTGTGGAGAGGATGGGGTGGTCGGGGGCCCTTTAGGTCTGAGGGGTAAGTGGAGCCCCCATTCCCCACCAAGCTAGAGGGTTTGGGATGGGAACTGGGCCAGATCAGACACCTGAAGCCTGGAAGAACTTACCTTTGACCTCAGTGGCTCCAGGTCCTATACCCTGAGCTTGGGATGGACCCAGGATGGGGGTGGGGATGGGGTGTCTGACTTTGTTTTAACCCTCTGCTCCCCACTCTGGACAGAGCCCCCTGTAACTCCAGATCGCATCTTGACCCTAATTCCAGACTCGGACCTGGCCCAAGGTCTGCAATGACCTCTGACCGCAGCCAATTCTGGGCTTTCCTCTCACTGAGCTTTCAGTCTTTCACATCTCCTCACTGTCCCTGAGCTCCTGTGGCCTCACCCTCTGGGGCTAGCTCTATGGAATTGTACCTCCCCTCGCATTTTCAGGCTTCCAAGTCTCTGGCCATCAGCCGCCTCTCCTCCTCCCCTGGGCCCACCTGTGCTGGCCCCTCCCACCCGCTCAGGCATCTTAGCCCGCACCACCTTTATGTTCAGCCTTCTTTCTACAGCTCCTTTCTCACTGGCATTTCAAACATTCCACTGAGGAAATGCAAAGAAAACCCTCCTTGAACCCCACTTCCACCTCTGGCCTCTCACTTCCACCTCTCACCTCCCCGTCATGGCCAAACTCTCCAGAAAGCTGTCTGCACAGTTGTTTCCACCCCTCACCTCCCTCTCCCTCCTCAGCCCACTCTGTCTACTTCCGGGGCCCACAGACAGCCCTCCCGAGGGCAGCGGGGATCCTCGGAGCCCAGTCTGACGAGCACTGTCACATTTAACTTCTGTCCAACTGGGCGACATTCAATACTAGGCCCCTCCTACACCCTGGAACTCTCTTTCCGGGCTCCTATGACCCTGCTTTGCCTTCCTTGGTCAAGACAGTGCCACCTCTGCCTGGCTGTCCCTTGGGCACCTGTTCTCAGTGGTCCAAACCTAGACTCCTCCTCTTTACCCCAAAAGGCCCCCCGCCCCCGCCACAGTTCTCACGGCCCGGGGAATCACATGCTTCTATTGCTGGGCAGAGTCATTACTCTCTTCCTCCCCGCCCCGGCCACAGCCCATGGCGATGCCCCAGAAAGCTTGTCTATGTTTGGCTCTCATATTTATCCACTGGTCTATTTCTGCTCCATCGAGACCCACCACTGTCCTCTTAGCCCACCCACCTGTCTCTTTACCGTTGCTCCCCACCCTCATCTACACCCCTGGCCTCCTCACCACATCTCAGCACCAGCCCCCAAACCACCCCTTCACCCACCTCCACAATCTTCCCATCACCACTACTCCTTCACCACCACCTCTATCACCGCCCCCAACCTGCCCCTACCTGCCACAGCCCCCTCTTGACACCCCCGCCAATCCAAGTTGTCACCACTTTTCACCCACCTTTCTGGGATAACTTTCCAGCCTGTCTGCCCTCATCCACTCCTTTAATCAGCTTTGATTTTTAAAAAATGCTAGTCATCATACCACTTGCCTAAATTCACCAATAACTTCCTACCACCGGTAAGATAGCCACGAAGCCCTGGGTTACGTGGCTCCAGCCTACTGCACCAATCTCAGCTATGCTCTCTTCTTCCAACACTGCCCCAGCTGATCTGGCCACGTTGGAGTGCACTGAGCTCCCCTCACGCCACTGGAGCCGGCTCTGCCTCACCTCCCTCCAGTCACCATGTGATCGACTCATGTCTGCTCACACACCATCCTGGTGCAGATGTCCCCTTCCTGAGAAATGTTCCCTCAGTCCCAGACCCCTGCTGGGCTGCCTCGGGGCTAGAGAAGCACACATCATGATCTTGTGACTTCAAATTTGGACACCCCCAGGTGCAGAGACTGTGTCTCAGTACTTACCACCGGTTCCTGTGCCCGTTCCAGATACAGGCTGGCCACTTAAAACTATTTTCAGAATGAGTAAGTCCAAAGAGAGGGCCTGCCTATGGTCCCTCCTAGACTGTGGGCTCTGGGTGGGTGGGTGCAGGTTTATTTCCCTTGGTGCTCAGGGGCCAGGAGAGGGCAGGGAGTGAGCAGGTGCAAGGGCTGACTGAGTTGCTGCTAATGAAAAGCAGAGGCGGCAGTGGGGCCAATGAGGGGGAGGGGCTGCTCTCCCAGAAGTGGGGCCTGGTGGACACAGAGTGATGAGCAGGGCAGGATGGAGTCTAGGCGTCTAAAGAGACCAGGGGATGCTGGGGCCCAAGTGGGGAAATGGGAAAGAGAAGCAGGCCCAGGGAGTCTGTAGGCAGGAAAAGAAAGGGGGGTTGGGGGGGACACCCCCAGTCAGGGAAGAGATCCAGAGCACCATGGCAGAGAATGTCCTCGTTTGACAAAGGGGGTCTGAGGCCTAGAGAGGGCCAGTGGCTTGTCCAGGTTCACATCATGGTTGGTGACAGAGCAGGACTCTAGAATAGCACCCCAACTGTGGGACATGGGGTCAAGCTCCAGAAGACACCGCCTTGCTTTGGCCTTCACTTCCTGTGCTCATACGTCACACCTGGACCCCATCTGGCTCTCAGTCTCTTCTTTTCTCTGCAACTTGCTCAAATCTGTCCCCTTGCCCCCCAACCCTTTCAACTCTCCTGAGCTAACTCTACCACCAGCCTCATGCTCTCCCAAGTCTGATAACCTTCCCACCCACCACTACCAGGCCCTGCAACCCTTGTCCTGCACTGTCCTCAGCTCCTCCGTAGCATTAGTTTCCATCCCTCTGTGACATGTTTCCTTTCTGTCCCTGATGCCCAGACCCACCCTCTCCAGTCCTGTGCTGGGATTAATCCCGACATCCCCCTCCCCCTGCAAAGTCATTTATATATTTGTGTAGCACCTACTGAAAAGGTGGGGAGACTGGGGACTGGATTGGAGGGAAGCATTTTTCTTCAGAATATCACCAAAGGGTCCTATATTTCGTCTGGAAAAGTCATTTTTTATTTTTTAAGAAATTCAGTGCAAGAGGAGAAATTAAATGGATGCTGCACTTGTTCACAATACGAGCGGCACTTCCTGTGCCTCGCCGTGTGGCAGGCATTATCTCACTGCACACTCGCTAAGGTTCTGGGTGTAGTTGTCATTGGGGAGTCTCCTCTGCCACCCCCACTGCATTCCATGTGAAGAGACTTGAGCTAGAGAATGCTCCTGTCCTCTCTCTCTCCACCCTATTCTCCCCCAGGGGACCTGCATTTTCTGCTGTGCTCTATGGTAATTCCATGGGGTTATAACTGGCAGTGGTTGAGGGGAGGCCTGTACCCCACTCCCTTTGACTGGGGTCCATAGGGATGAGCGTTTGGAGGCCAACTGAGGCTCTGTTTCTTGGCTTGTTTTTTTCAATCATCATAACTTGTATTTCTTTTTCCTGTTTTATTGCAAAGGTTAGGATCTCAGGTGTATTATTGAATACAAGTGATGACAGTAGACAGCCACCCACCATAAATTAGTAGCAAGACTAATGTTTCATCTGTCTGACTGAATCCTAAAGCTACCTCTCAGTTCTGAACTTGCAAGGGAGGTATTATTGATAGGCCTCCTAATACTCCACCTTAGAGAGGTGGAACTGGGAGGCAATTTGCCCAAGGTCATATATTTATTAAATAGTAAAATTCCCATATAAATCCCAGTTAGTTTGACTTCAAAGCCCACAATCTTAACTACTATGCTGTAAAACCTCCAACAAAACATGTTTTAGAAGAACAATAATTTGACAGTGTGATACTAGAGTAAGATCAGAAATACATACCATTAGAATAGAACACAAAGCAGCTACTATATAGGTGAACCAATTAGATAGAAAAACATAGTTCTTGGTAAAGCAAGCATGGTAAAATGAACAAAATGGTCCACGACTCAGGGTGGGAGGAAATTAGCTAACACTTTATATTTAACACTAAACTTATCTCCAGTCAGATGACAGAGTTAAAATCTATAAATGAGTAATAAAATTCAACAGTAGCTAGCAGGAAATATTGAAGTCTTTCTTACCCTCTGGAAAAACAGTTGTAAGTTTTCCTTAACTTCTCTTAAACTTCCTGAGGAGTTTGCAAGTTTCCAAGCAATAGGAAAAAACCACAAGGGAAAAGGTGAATTTTTTGGCTCTGTAATGGATGGAATGGGGAGGAGAAGGGGCCAGAGGGCTCCTCTAGGAGCACACAACATGGACATGTGCAGAGTGACCATGGGGATGAAGCTGCAGGGACCAGCACTAGGAATCATCTTTGAAGACTAAGAAATAGACATCAACTCTATGTTGCCACTGCTCGGACTTCCTTGGTGACCTGTGACTGTGCATACAGCTCCCACCCCTGTGCACAGCTTCCTGATTTGTACTTCCCATGATTTACAAGAAAAATAAATATTTGGTCATTCAGATCATCAAAATATATTTCTCAGATATATTTGGCGATCTACGATCTACGATTCTGGCTCACAGTTCCCAAAACCCTTGGAATTTCCTAAGTGTTAAAAATTATAGGGGTTTCCTTTGTTATGTAAGTAGGGTGCCTTTGGAGTCACCTGGATGAGGACTGGTTCCACCCCAGACGGCTGGGGAGGGGAGAGGGCTGCAGATGGGGAGTTCAATTGGCTACCGCCAATGGCATGAGTTCATCCGCTGTGCCTTTGTAAGGAAGCTGTCTAAGCTCTCTCTTTGAGAAGGGGCTTCTAAGAGCTTCCAGGCAGGTGGAGTTGTGTACCTGGCCAGGGCATGGAAGCTCAGAGCCTTTCCCCCATCCCTTGCCTGGTGAATCCCTTCCATCTGACTGTTTCCAAGTTAGTCCTTTATAATGAGCCAGTGATCTGTTGAGTAAACAGATTTTTCTGAGCTCTGTGAGCCTCTCTGACAAAGTGATCAAAGCTAAGGAGGGGTGGTGGGAACCCCCAGTAGCCAATAGTGGCTGGTTGAAGCACAGGTGACTGTGAAAACTTGCCACCAGCTTCTGAAGTGGAGGGCGGTCTTGGGAGCTGGGCCCTTACCTGTGGAACTTGAGGCTATCTCTGTGCACATAGCACCAGGAGCGAGCTGAACTAAGTTGAATTCTGTGACACCCCGCTGGTGTCTGAAAATTGCCTGTTAGTGCTGGAAAGGTGCCACCCGCACCCACGTTGCGCTGGGCCTGGGAACCCGAATCGTATTCACATACACTTGGGTTTCCAGAGATGAACCTTCTCTTGCTTTCCCATCCCCCCACTGATTTCCCACAAAAGTGGTCCCTTGGGAGCTGCTTGGAGAAGTCTGGCACATGTAGGCGTGTGCACACCCACTGGGAAGATGCCGTGGTGGCTGGGCACAGGCCAGGCCCCTTCTGCTCTGCTGGGTCTTTCTGAGTGGCCATCTCACTCCAGGGTAATGTAGCTGAAGGCCCTGCCACCAGGCAGGAGGGAGCCGGGCCCAGCCTGCTGCTGCAGCACCACACACCTGCACCTGCTCCGACCCTGTCTTCAGGTCTTGAAAGCAGAGGGCATGTTCCAGACAGGACACGGGGCTCGGTCATTCCCATTTACCTCAGGTCGGCTCTGTTCCAGGTCTAGCTGCTGGGCTGGGATCCTCTGGGATCGCTGAGGGAACAGGGCTGACCTCCACCTTGTGCTTTCTAGGTCTGCTCTTTGCCCTTTATCCCGCTTAATCCAGCCCCAGCTGTCCCAGAGTGCCCCCTAGAGCTTGAGTTCTGCCCCCAGCTCTGTCTGGAGCTTGACTGGGCCCTGGTCCCATCTCCAGGCCTTTTTGAGCCCCTTCCCTGGTAGGCCTGACCCCTGACCCTGCCTTGTGCCAGGGACTCCAGCCAGAGCTGAGCACAGCACATGGCACAAAATGAGCTCTCAATAAATGTTTGCCAAATGAGTCAATTCCTCGACCGTCCCCTCAAATAGTCCAGTGAGCTCCTTGACCCATGCCCTCAGCCCTGTTCCTCAGTGTAGGCTTTGACCAGGAGACAAGAACTAGCTGGCCACAGCTCTCAGTTCCTGTCCCCCTGCCTGCACACACTGGGCCCCTGTCTGTCTCTCCCTTCTGCATTTGGAGAACCTTCTCCTGCACGCAGAGCAGGGCCCCAGCACCATGAGGCACCCTAGATGATTTTGTTCCGGGGTTTTCTGGAACTGGAACTGGGCTCCAGTTTACTTGTTAGTCAGGGTCCAGGGGGCCCACCTATGTCACTGTCATTGTGCCCCCTCTGAGGGGTTGTATTTCATTTGCAGGACTTGAATGAGGTTTCTGGGCAGCCCCATGCCCTCTGCGGCCTCTCCAAGCAGGCCATGGGGGAACAGTGCTGCAGGGCCTGCTGAATGTGCCTCCTTTTCAGCGCCCCCGTCACTTTCCCTGCCTGGCATCCCAGTTCAAAACAAATGAAATGGCCAGGCCCCGGGCGGGCCTGGGAACTCTGAGATTTACAAAGGGTGTCAGGGTAGGTGGAATGCATCTCCAGGCGTGCTTTGAGCTCTCCCAGCCTAGCTCACCAGGCTCAGGGCTCCTGGTCGCAGGCCTTGGAGAGCAGGTTACCCCCAGCTAGGAAACAGCAGCCTGTCCAGCTTTGCCCACACAGGACAGAGTCCTGGGGAAAGGCTTGGGACTGGGGAGACACTTGAACTCATGTGGCACCCTCTACACCTGCTGGGCTATGTGTCCCCAAATTGAATGGTTAGTGTACTCACCCAGGGGGCGCCCATCTGCGCAGGGACAAGCTGCAAGTGGGGTTCAGGCTTTTCTTGAGATTTGGATGCACTGAACTTTCAAGGGATTTGCCCTGATTTGCATTTCATGAGACTTTGCTCTGGTCCTTGACTGACTGGACAAGTAGTCAGCATCTGGGCACCCAGCTTCATCACTGCCCGGCTTGAAGCCTTCACAGAAGAAAGAACATGTTTTTAAAACACACACAAAAAACCCATCCTGTCTGAACTGAACATTTTCTCCCGCTTGTTCAACACCACAATTTACATTCCTGGGCCGGTCAGCAGCCAAGATATTTATAGCATGGCCCTGGCACTCCATCTTGCCTAATTGGCTCGGCCCGACGGGGCCCCCATCCGTCATGGTAAGTGGGCCTTTCACCAGCCTCCCGAGGACTCTCAGCCGGCCGGACATTCCCAGGCCTGGAGGTGGGGCCGGGGAGGTGGGCCCCTGCCCAGCCTGCTCCCTGTGCCCCCACCAGTGGGTCCACTTACACCAGGGAGTCCTCGAGAGTGAGTGTGTGAATCAGGTCCTCTTTACCATCCAGCACAGGGACAACCGGGACCCTTGATAGCATCATCTCAGTCCTTCCTAGGCCTGCACGCTGCCTTCACACTTCCCATGGCCCCTCATTCCATCCTTCTAACTTACAAAGATGCCTTTGTCACTTCTCAGCCTAATGACTTCATGCTCTCTGTAGAATGAAGCCTGGATTCCTCCATCAGCTCTGGAAGGACCTCACCATCACCCCATTACAGGGGTTGCTCTCTCTGCTCCAGACACAGTCAGCTGCAGGCCATTCCCCATAAGGGAAGGTGGGCACTGTCCCGCGTGGGCTCTTCCTTAGGCCTGACAGCTTCTTACCTCCTCTTGGCCTGCTTACCCTCCGTGTCTACCATACACACACCCTCCTCCATCTTTGCCTTTGTCCCTCACCACCTCCCCAAAGAGTTGGGGTCTCCTCCTCATACTCCCCGAATGTTCTGGAATCCCTCTCGAGAGCATCCAGCACACCCATTGCATTGGATTGTCCTTGCCTGAACTAGAACTCTCCAAGGACTGAGGGCAGGATTTCTCCATGCTCCCTACAGAACACTCCTCAGCCCTGCTGAGAAATCCATCTATTACTTTGTCCCTTGGGTCCTAAGGATTGAATGGTTTTTGCTCTCAAAAGTACTGTATGTCATCAATTCCCCAAAATAGTCTTCCCACTTTGAAACTGGGATGGCATGTCTAGTTTCATTGTCAGGGATTTGACCTTTCTTAATGGGCCACAGAACTATGGTGCATCTTTCAATCGATGGCTGCTAAGACTGGATGGAATGTAAGGATGCTAATTACAGTAAGATACTGAGACAGCATAGTGTTCAGGTCAGACCTTGAACCTGACTGACCTGGGTTCTGAAGCTGGCTCTGCCATATTCTGGCTGTGTGATGGTAGATGGCTACTTCTGGCTTTCGAGTCTCGGTTGCCACATCTGGAAATGGGAGAGTTGACATGACAGGCATACTTCATTTACTGTGCTCCACAGATATTGCTTTTTGTAGAACACCCTCCACCAGCAAAAAGATGATGACTCTCTGAAGGCTCAGATAATAGCCAGTATTTTTATCAGTACAATATTTTTTAATTAAGCCATGAACATTCTTTTTTAGACATAATACTATTGCACACTTATAAACTATAGTATAGTGTAAATGTAACTTTTACACGCACTGGGAAATCAAGTTTTGTGTGATTTGCCTTTTTGTGGCTGTCTGGAACAGACCCCTCAATATCGCCAAGGCATGCCTGTGCTGGCTTTCTTGGTGGTTGAGATGATTATATTCCTTATGAGAAAGAATGAAAAGTGTTCAATAAGTAAGAGCTGCTGCTATTTGGTTGTTAATCATAAAACAGTGATTTATAAGGAAAAAATGTATTTGGTCATTCAGTTCATCAAAATATATATTTCTCATCCATCTTCGCTCTTCATCCATAGTTCCCAACTCACAGCTCCCCAAAGTCTTGAAAGTGTTGAGAGGATAAAGGTGGCTCATGTGACTTCCATGGCGCCTGGTTGCCAGGGGAACCAACCGTGTGATTAGAAGCTGGACATTCCATTCCCACTGCTGACCTCCAGGGAGGGAAGAGGGGCTGGAGGTTGAGTCCATTTGCCAATGGCCAATGAGTTAATCAGTCATGCTTATGTAATGAAGTCTCCATAAAAGCCCAAAGGGACAGGGTTTGGAAAGCTTCTGGGTTGGTGAACAGATGGAGCTTCCAGGAGATGGCGCACCAGAGAAGGCATGGTAGGCTGCACCTTCCCCCGTCCTTGCCTTTTCCAGCGCTTCTATGTGGCTGTTCCCGAGTTACAGTCTCTTTATAATAAATCAGTGATCTGTTGAGTACTTGGGTTTGCTGAGGTTCTTGAGCCTCTCTAGCAAATGAAGCAAAAGTCTAAGAAGATTTGATTTGTAGTTGATTGGTCAAAAACACAGGTAACTGCTTGGGACTTTGGACTAGCCTCTGAAGTGGCCCGTGGTTTGGGGAGACCAAGCCCTTCACCTGTGAAATGTGACACTACCAACCAGTGGGTAATTTCAGAATTGAATTGATGACTTAGCCAAAAGACTTGATCTTAGCCAAAAGGTCACGAAGCAACACAGAATTGAGCTGAAGTCTTGGACACCCTGCTGTGTCCAAGAATTACTAGTGGTTGTGGGAAGTCTACCCACACTCTCGGTGCAGGACACCAACACACGTTCATTTGTGCAACAGAGATTTGAGTGCCAACGGAGAGCACAGCAGTGACAGGCAGATATGACTCTGTTGCCCTCAAGGATCTCAGTTTGGCTACAGAGACAAAGGGTAAATCCTTCATTGCAAATTAAGGTAAATTCTTACAAAGGAGGCTTGAGGAAACCTAGTTTGGGATGGCAGTAAAAGAGATAAAAGCCAGAGCACAGGGGACTGTGGTGATGGTGCACGGGTACCTTGGGGAAGGAGATTCTGTGGGGACTCAATCTGAGCAGGTGGGGGGAAGCAAACATTGTTTAAAAAAATAAACAGAAAAAAATAAAATGAAATAATCATATAATTAAAAAAAAGAGAGACAGAGATAAAAGCCAGTACCTGAAGGACAAGAAGGACCAGCTGAGCGAAAACTGTAGGGAAGAACTTCCAGACAGAGGCAGGTGCAAATGCACAGTTGCAAAGAGAAGACAGTGCGGGGACCGTGGAAGGAGTTGAGGGGACGCCAGGTCATATGGGTGTATAGACCTTGAGGGGTGTTAATTTTGCTCAGAATGCAATAGGAGGCTTTGGGGAGGAAAGAGGAGCAGTTTAAGCAGGACAGTGTACCTGATTTATACTTTAAGTCATTCTGGTTGGGGAAGCAAGCTGGAGTGGGCAGAGGGAAGGCAAGACTGGCAGCATCACCTTGAGGAGAGTGGGTGGTGGCTTGGACACAGTGGTGGCAGGGAAATGGATTTGGGACTTATTTTGAGGGTAGAATTGACAAGCCTTGGCAATACCTCAATGTGGGTGGTGAGGAGCAGGAGGCCCCAAGGCTGCCTCCCAGTTTTCTGGCCTGGGTGACTGGGTGGATGATGGTGCCATTTCCTGAGATGGGGGAGACACAGGGAGGAGCAGGTTGGGGAGGAAATCAAGAGTTTACTTTTGGATGTGTTAAACTTGAGCTGTTATTTATCTTTGCTTGGCTAATTGCTGACAGAGCTGAGTGGACCTCAGAGCTGCAGGGAAGAAGGGTGTCTCCCACCCAGAAGTGCCCTGCCCACGAGCGACCCTTTGAGGTGTTTCGAAGCACTGGAGCTGGGGCATCTTTTATCCTGTCTTCTTGGGGCCAGGGGCCAGAGAACTTCCCAGTCTCTAGTGGAAGCAATTTGCCCCACCCCACCTTTTCATTCTACAGCCTGGGCTCATCTCATTCTAGGCCACGGACTCGGTGAGGAGGCATCCACATCTCTGTTGGGACCCCTCCATCCACTGCGAGCTCCAGGATCTGTGCTTGGCCCTCAGTCCAGACCCCACTTGCACATCCTGGAACCTCTCTGAATAATTCTTTAGAACCACACAGACTCCAATCCACCTCTTCACCCACATCTACTAGCTGTGAGCTGGTGTACCCCACCTGTGATATGGGGGCAATGACATCAGTGCTCCTGTAGGGCTACTGTAAGTGTTTACTGAAATAATGCATGTCAGGCTCCTAAAAAGCCAGGATACAAGTTGGTGTTATTTATTATTACCTGGCCACTCACTCAAGTCCACCGTAATGACCCAAGGGTAAGACCCCCAAGACCCCCCAGAGCCTCCCTTCCTTTCCTGCCTACCCCTCTGTGGCACCCTGACAAAGATTTGATGGTGGGATTCTGGGCGGTGTCAACCAATGGGAAGAGCAGGGGCGCCGCATCACCCCTTTTGGCTCATGTGCTCTCTCAGGCCTGTCAGCAGGGTTGACTTTATCTGGTGACTGGGGGGGAAGCTGGCAGGGTCTGGGGAAGAGGAGACAATGGGCCCTTGTCTTTGTGGAGATTTCTCCTCCCAAGATGCTCCAGCCCCTAGACAAAGATGACCTCATTCCTTGCGAGTTTCCAGGATGGAGGACAGAACAGGCCTGGAGCCGGGCCCACCCACTCCATCTCACACACTGGAAAACTAGGTCGCTGGGGCAAGGAGACAAGAAGGCACTGAGGTTTTTGTCCTAGTCCCCCACCTGAATTCAAGTGCTGTTGCGTTGCCGAGCCCACAGGAAGAGAGCCTGACTGGTCCCGCCATCCTGACGAGTAGTGGGCAAGCTTCTGGCCAGACAGTCTACGACTAGACCTCAGCTCTGCCATTCACAGCTGAGTACCCTGAGCAACTGAGGCTCAGTTTCCTCATCTGCCTGGGCTTGGCCACCCCTTCCTGGCAGGGCTGTGGTGTCTGTGGACATCATAGACTTAGAACACAGGCCCAGACTGACTTGCTCAAAGCCAGAGCCTACCCGTCCCCCACCCCGGCCCCCCATCCAGCAGAGGGGTGATCCTTCAGGGGTCACAGCTTTGCCAGGTGATGGAATTAAGACTCACTGTACCCAGCCCCTGGTTGGGCCACCAATATGCCCACCCAGTCAAGCACCCTGCAGCAGGAAGGCATGGTAAGGGGCCTGGCATGGCCTTATCAATATTCTGAAGGACATTTTCAAACACTGGCCTTGCTGGGGATTCATACCCCTGCCCACAGCAGCCCTGACTTCTTGTGCTGCACCCTCATCCAACACAGAGAGGCTTCTCCCACCTGGTCTCCACCCCAGCCCCACCTGAGGATGCCCCCTCTCCCCCATTATCCTGTCTCCTTTCTAAATAAAGTGGGATCACAGGGACCCACAGAGACATGAAACCTCAGATGGGACCAGGGACCCCGTGCAGGCTCTGAGCCAGTGCTTATAAAATGGTAGCTCTGTTGTTCCTGACTATAAGTGTTCTGAAAGGTCATTTAGAGCAACCTTCGATTCACACATGGAGAAGGCAAGGCTCAGAGATGGCTAGTGCTCATCCCAGGCATACAGCCCATCAGGGCAGGGCCCAGCTCAGAGCCCAGCCTCTGGGCTCCGTGTTAGGGCTCTAGGGCTGGCGCTTCCCTGCATGGCGGGTATCTAGACAGCTGTCCCCAGGTGTGCTCAGCTCAGGACCCAGGTGAAGGAGGCCAGTGAATGGAGCCGGGGGCCCTCCTGGAGGCAGCCAGTGCTCTGACCTTTCCCTTGGCCCCAGCTTCCACCGTGGCTGCATTCCCAGTGAGATAAACAAGGGATCAGCAGGAGCAAAATGAATGAAGTAACGGGGAAGATATGAGTGGCCTCGCCCAGCCCCCGGCCAGCCCCACCCGCTGCCGGACAAGGAGAGCTTTGGAAGAGGCCAGGCCCTCCCCCAGCCTCAGCTGTGCCAGGCACCAAGGGAGCTCAGTCCTGGGCCAAGCCACAACTGATCCCCCGGATTCAGGATGAAGTCCCTCTCAGAGCCCCAGAACCTTCCCTGGGCCCTGTCCCTGAGCCCCACCCTTCTCCCTGGCCTCCTCAGCCCCTAGCCCTCACTAAGCTGGGATTATTTCAGATCTGAAGGCTTGGCAGAGCTGGACAATGCCTCATTCCCACGTGCAAACTTGCCCAGCCCCTGGGGTGTCTGGAGCAGGCCTTGGGTCTGCCACCCTGGCTCAGCTGGGTCTAGTGTTCAGCCCTACACAGCCCATCCATGTCTTTGTTCACCCGCTGAGCCTCTGCCCATGTGTGCTGGAAAAGCTGTTTATCCCAGCCCCAGTGCCAGCCCCTTGCCCCTGCAGCCTTTGGCCTGTCACAGGCCATCTTGACTTCTCTCTGAAGTCCTGGAACACTGGGGGGGGTGTCTCCAGAGCCAGAAGGGAGGTTGGCACTGTTGACCCAGCCTGGATACCAACCAAACTGGACACCAACCCGGACACCTTCCCCTGCTGAGATGCAGACAAAGAGCGAGTGTCAGCTAGATAGGGCTCTGCCTGCCAACCATGGAGCCAGGCTGCCCGCTACAGGGATCCAGGGCTTGCAACCCCAGCACAGGGACCCCAGAAGCTCAGCCCCTGCCCTTTCCTGCCTCACAAGGAAGAAGTGGAAGTAAAAGGGCCTTCTGTTTGCTGGGAAACATGTAGAGTGAACACCAGTGGCCAGAACCAGGAGCCTGAGACCACTGCACAGCCTTCCTGGCCCACCTTGGACCTCAGGACCTCTCTGCCAATGGCCCAGGGCCTGGCCCTGTTGAAATGGGGCCATCTCTCGAGGACCTCAGATTTCTCTGCCACCAACCCTCTGGAGCTATGGTGCACCAGGCCTGAATCCACATTTTAAAGACTCCTCAGGTGATCTAGGGCAGATGGTGCCCCCCAACATCTAGAGAGATTCTGCTGAGGTTCCTTTCAGGTTCAGCTGCCCCTCCTGCCCTCAAGGTGATATCCCCTACCCCCTGAGTTTTACCTTAGCCCTGACTCCCTGGACTCAGACCCCTACTTTTCCAGACTACTTCATGCCACCCCA